ACCCAAATCCAACAAAAACAAAAAAAGGTAATGACACTTAACTGCACCGTTTCAAAAGGTTTTTAAATGGGAAAAAGGTATTTAGTATTTTTAATAAGCATCTTCAATACTATTGAGTTGGTTTCTTTGTTCATATCACAAGATTAATTATGCTGTCAAGCACTTCCAAGGCCTGCTTAACAAAGATTCAGTGATATAATGGTTTGCCTTCGCATGGCTTTTTTTTTTCTGCATAGCAATCACAATCAAAATTAGACAATTTAAAACCCTTTCACAAGCCGGAAGTTCTGAAGAGCCTTTTAATCAACAAAAGTAATTTTGCAAACAACTAGATACAGCGTTTTTCATATTAACTAACTTGTGGGTTTTTTAAAAAAACACACACACAACTCCATATGCTGCATTCATGAATCCCTGAAGATGGTAATGGATGCTTGAGATCTGTAATGGAACCAAGTCAGGCTGCGTGCAACTAAGCCTCTCTCTCTATCTATCTATCTATCTATCTATCTATCTATCTATATGGAGGGAGGGGTTACAGACCTATCTATTAGGGCTGGGCGGTTTCGTTTCGTTAATTCGTAATTCGTTAATAATTCGTTAATTTTTTCAATTACAAAACGATAACGAACCATTCTGGAGCAATTATTAAAAAAACGAATTTTCAAAAACGTTTTGTAAATGTTTCGTATTTCGATATTGTATTCGTTTCGTTATTGTTTTGAGGTCGTTTCGTTATTATTTCCGCATGTCTGGGCCAGTTTTATGGTTTAATTAGTGAAAAAAAATTATAATATCACACCAACAGTCAACAACAGAGGGAGAGGGAAGCTTCAGAAGATTTTGGAGGTTTTTTAGCGTATTTCGCGGTCGCGTCCGCCATTAACGAATCGATTCGTTATTGTTTCGGAAATCGATTCGTTAATTTTTTACCATTTACGAAATTTCGTAGATATCGAACTTTTTAAAAGGAAAATTTTGTAATTATTTTAAATATCGAAACAAAAAAACCCCCCAAATACAAATCGATTTTAGAAACAAATTTTCCCGTTGTTACCCAGCCCTACTATATATATATATAAATGCTCTGTGCATAATGAGTACCTTAAAAACAAAAGAACCAATGAACGAAATCACACCCAATTTGGCAGCAAAACGTCTCACAACACAAGGAGTGACCATCACTCAAAAATTATGATTTTGTCATTTGGGAGTTGTAGTTGCTGGGATTTATAGTTCACCTACAATCAAAGAGCATTCTGAACTCCATCAACGATGGAATTGAACCAAACTTGGCACACAGAACTCCCATGACCAACAGAAAATACTGGAAGGTTTGGTGGGCATTGACCTTGAGTTTGGGAGTTGTAGTTACCTACATCCAGAGAGCACTGTGGACTCAAACAATGATGGATCTGGACCAAACCTGACAGGAATACTCAATATGTCCAAATGTGAACACAGATGGAGTTTGGGGAAAATAGACCTTAATATTTCGCAGTTGTAGTTACTAAGATGTATAGTTCACCTACAATAAAAGAGCATTCTGAACCCCACCAACGATGGAATTGGGCCAAACATCCCACACAGAACCCCCATGGCAGGGGACCGCTAGTATATGGAGGGAGGGATTATAGACCTATATATATAGAGAGGGAGACACACAGACAGACAGAGACTATAAATTCTGTAATGCTACGTTGTGAAATGTAGCTGTGGCACATAGTTACATTATTGTAGTTACATCCCCCAACATGTCCCACTGAATCAACATTTCAAATAATGTAGACTCTGGATGCTATCCATTGATCACTCTGCTTTCCAATCCTATGAAATGATCATGTTGTGGGTTTGGGGGGGATTTTGTTCTCTGCTACAACACAATACACCTCTCAGGCCAACAAGTGACCATCACTCATAAAAATACTGAAAAACACAGCAGAAGAACCTTAGAAAAACAAAAAACCACACACACACACACACGGTTTTGCGCATGTGTTGTAATGTATTATTTGTTTTTTTATATTTGTGTATATGTGTATATCTGTGTTTGCATATATATATATATATATATACACATACAAACACACATATACACATATACACAAATATATACATGCATATATACACACACAAAACACATATACACAGACTGGGCCACAGCAACGTGAGGCAGGGGATAGCTAATAATAATAATAATAATAATTTATTTGTACCCCGCTACCATTTTCTGAGGGACTCAGTGCGGCTTACATGAGGCCGAGCCCACAATACATCAATAACAATAACAGCAATAATACAAAAAACAATACAAAAACTCATAGCAAAATAAGCAAAAACAATATCAATAACACGATGCATTTAAAAACCAATGGCTGGGCCAAATGTAATAATTAAATTTTTTTAAAAATAATGCTGGGCATGAACAGGTAACATGTAATTGGGATAAAGGTTTTGGAGAGGGAAGAAATGTACATACAATCTAAAATCATTATTAAAATGCGTTTGAGGACATATTGCTGGGAGTTTCCTTATTCTGGGAAGGCACACTGAAACAGCCACGTTTAATAATAATAATACTTGGATCTGCACGCATCATTCGAGAATACATCACACAGCCCTAATGCTTGGGATGTGTTCGACTTGTGATTTTTTGATATGAAATCCAGCATATAGATCTCGTTTGCTGTGACATACTGTGCTTTTGTGTCAGTAAAATAATAATATAATATTAATAGATAACATCCTCAGCTGCTGCAAGAAGATCGCGCAGACAGACCACAAGCAGAGGCATAACACTGTTGTTCAAATGATCCACTGAAACTTGAGCCACAAACACCATCTGCCTGCAACAAAGAACTGTTGGGATCACAAGCCTGAAAAAGTTACAGGAAATCAACACATCAATCTACTCTGGGACTTATGGATTCAGACTGACAGAGTTTTGGAGCAGAAGACTCCTGACCTCACAATTGTGGGGGGGGGGGGCAAGTATGGATCGTCAATGTTGCAATCCCAGGTGACAGCAGGATTGCAGAGAAACAACTGGAAAAGCTGACACAATACGTGGATGTAAAGATCGAACGGCAAAGACTCTGGCACAAGCCAGTCAAGGGGGTCCCAGTGGTGATGGGCACACACTAAAAACCTTGGTACACTTAAACACAATTTTCCTATACAAAAGTCTTTAGACGCTTGAAAAGTTTAAGAAAGTCCTTTATTATTGCTTAGATCTTCTACAATTTAAACAAACACTTCTCAGATCTTCAACAAGTCAAACAAATGCTTCTTAACTGGCCCAAATGGACAGGTAACTGGTAGGCTTGGGTAACTACGGAAAAATTTGGTTCTAAACTCGTTTTGTTTTTAGGGGGCCCTTGCGTTTTTTTTTTTTAATAATTCCGAAATTTTCCTTTAAAAAATTTCAAAATTTACGAAATTTCGTAAAATTACGAATCGATTCGTTAATGGCAGACGAGAAAAAAACCTCCAAATGGGACAGGGGGAACTTCTGAAGCTTCCCTCTCCCTCTGTTGTTGACTGTTGGTGTGATAAAACAAACAACAACTATAAAACTTGCACCAGACATGCGAAAATAATTACGAAATAATTACGAAATAATTACGAAATAAATTGAAAAAATTGTTTCGAATCTAATTTACTCCTCACACTATTGCTGCATGGCTCAATATTGGATCGTAAGCTAATTTAAATACGAATTAATAACGAATTACAAAATTAACGAACGAAACCGCCCAAGCCTAGTAACTGTTTCTTTTCTTTAAAAGGAAAACCCTTTTTTAACCCCTCCCAGGCAATCTGCTTTCTATGCTTACTGGTGTGGGCTCTACTCCCGGCTCCAACTGCTTCTGGTTACCCAAGTAGACCTACCAGCCAAGGCTTTGTAGATTCTCCAGCTGGAGTTCTTTTGGATCTTTTCCACAAAAGATGTGGAACTGTTTCCCCCGGATGCTTCTGTTTCTCCCAGATGCTGCGAGAAGTGAAGCTTGTCTACAGATGGAGCTGATCCACGTCCTGTAGCTAAGCTTTCCACTATAAGACTGAACTAAAAATGGTTCCCTTTCCCTCCCAGAGCCCTGGAAAAAGGGGCGGAACCAAAACTTAACAACGATAGACAGGTCATTGGCCCTATAATTGCAAGTCAAGGGAAGCCACCTTACTGCAAAATGCATGGAACCTTGGAATATATGCAAACACTAAACAGAAAAAAAAATGAAGCTGAAGCTCCTGGTACAGCCGTACCAGCACAGTACTTGTGACATAAGTTCCAATGAATCATTTGGGCCACAGAGTTGTGCCTTTGCTTGTAGTCCGTCTGTGCAATTTTCTTGCAGCAGAGGAGGAGATGATCCGTGGTTACACATAACTTCATGAATACAAAACGTTCACAAACAGTCCCTATCTGAGGCAAGATATACTAGGTCCTAAAACGATGGTCAGACAATGCAAAAGAAATCCTTTTGGGGAGAGATCCACCCAAATTCTTTCCCACCTGTGGGCATGGTGCATTCAGTATCAAACAAGTGTTGCTTCCATATAATCCCCGCCCGGTTTGTTCTTCGGAGTCCCCTCGCTCTTGAGAGAAGTGTCTGCACAAGGATGGTGGAGAGGCTCAGGATGAGCAGAGTAACAACTGCTGTCAGGCAAAATAACAGGGTCAGGAAGACGCGGTTAATGAAGTTATAGCAACTGGTGTAAAGAGCCAATCAGAAAAGGCAACAATCTGTAAATGAGGATATAATTAGCCGGAGGGAGGGGGGAATTAACAAGCTTTGGTGGGAATCTCAGGAAGTCTGTAATGAAGGAAATGACTACGTATTGAGGAAGATTCCAAAAGATTAGAGCAAACATTGTGCAACAAAGGCTACCTAATTAGTGAAGGTGGGAGGAGCGCCTAGGCCTTAATTAGAAGGAAATATCTGATGGAAGGACACCTAGTTGCCTTTTTAATGGGGAAAAGGAAGTAATGAGCGTTCGCCATGGAGTCTCCATTCCATTCGGAGCACCAAGGCTATCAGTTCAGCGCTCTCCCTTTCGTTGCCTCTGTCTCTGGTATGTGATAAATACACGTGATGGTAACATTGTAGGGACATTGTAAATTCCGTAACTGCATCGAGATATTATGTGAAAAGAGACAACGGAAAACCGTCATTTGCAATGGGCTCCAGAGATTTACTGCATGCCAACATCTTTGTGTAAGCTATAATAATATTTATTTATTTATCGTGTCAGGAGCAACCAGACATTTGTATTACATTTTTAACAAAGCAAACAAACAGACAGACAAAACACAGAGTTTGCAAGCTTGGTAGTTGATGAAATGTGCTTTGACCCGTATCTGGCCTCTGGTGTCACTATAAGGAGGTCCTCCCTTGTGCTCAGGTTGCATTGCAGCAGGTGGTCAGTGGTTTGCTCTTCTCCACACTCCCATGTCATAGATTCCACTTTGTGGCCCCATTTCTGAAGGTTGGCTCTGCATCTCGTGGTGCCAGAGCGCAGTCTGTTCAGCGCCTTCCAAGTCGCCCAGTCTTCTGTGTGCCCAGGAGGGAGTCTCTCATTTGGTATCAACCATTGATTGAGGTTCTGGGTTTGAACCTGCCACTTTTGGACTCTCACTTGCTGAGGTGTTCCAGCAAATGTCTCTGTAGATCTTAGAAAACTATTTCTTGATTTAAATTGTTGGCGTGCTGGCTGATACCCAAACCAGGGGATGAGCTGGAGATGTCTCTGCCTTGGTCCTTTCACTATTGGCTGCTACTTCCCGGCGGATGTCAGGTGGTGCAATACCGGCTAAGCAGTGTAATTTCTCCGGTGGTGCAGGGTGCAGACACCCTGTGATGATGCGGCATATCTCATTAAGAGCCACATCCACTGTCTTAGTGTGGTGAGATGTGTTCCACACTGGGCATGCATACTCAGCTGCAGAGTAGCATATCGCAAGGGCAGATGTCTTTACTGTGTCTGGTTGTGATCCCCAGGTTGTGCCAGTCAGCTTTCATATGATATTGTATGATATTTCATATGGCATCCCGAGCTCTGAGGATTATTACCTGGGAAGGAATCCCACTGGAGCCTTGCAGCGCACCCAAGTACCTGGGAGGAGTCACTCTGGACCGTGCTCTAACCTACAAGAAGCACAGCCTGAACATCAAGCAAAAAATTGTGCTAGAAACAATATCATACGAAAGCTATAATAATAATGTGTTGTCATTTAGACTCCAGGAAAAGGTTTGTAAAGCATAATAATAAAAAATAAAATGTGTGTCTATGTGTGTGAAAGAGAGAGAAAAAAATCTTAAATTCAGGACATCTGATGAAAGCAGCATGTCTCACAATCTTTCCTCATGACGAATGTCCGAAAGCAAGTAGGTGCCATGCATTTCTGCTTGGAAATAAGTCCCACCGTGTCCATTATAGCTTAGTCAGTAATAAGTGTGTTTACAGTTGGAACTTAATAGTTGATCTTACAATAGTGGTAGCTAGCTAGTAGGCTTGGTTGATCCAGTTCGTTAATTTCTTATCTCGTGATGAAATCGTAAATAAAATACCTTTAGAAGCGATATCGACGCGTTTTGGCAACCCGGAAGTGTTTTTGCCATATCGAAGCCGCGTCCGCCATCTTCCTTACGACTTCCGGCAGTGAATCGTAAATGCTGGGGGCGTGGCCTTCAGGAACAGCTGTTCTTACCCACGCCCACCTCCTTCCTCTTTGCATCGGCGGCTTTGCGAGGTGGGCTTTGTGAGGGCGTGGCTACCTCCCTGGTGACAAGCGGCGATGCGGAAGAGCTGGGTGTAGCCACGCCCACCTCGCAAAGCCACCGATGCAAAGAGGAAGGAGGTGGGCGTGGGTAAGAACAGCTGTTCCTGAAGGCCACGCCCCCAGCGACCTCCAAGGAGGGCTGTGCTTGGCCACGCCCACCTCTCCTTTCTGCATGACTGACAGCTTGCCACGGAAGGGAAGGAAAGATGAGAGATTTTAAAAGTGTTAGTTTTAAAATCTCTCATCTTTCCTTCCCTTCCGTGGCAAGCTGTCAGTCATGCAGAAGGGAGAGTTTTTATAAGTGATGGTCACTCGTTGGACTGTTAGTGTGTTTTGTGTTTGTGTATATGTGTGTATGTATGTTTGCATGTATATATGTAATTGTAATGTTGTTGTTTTTTTTGGCTTTTTAAGTCTTTTCTACTGTGTTTTTCAGTGCTTTTATGAGTGATGGTCACTCATTGGACTGTTAGGTGTCTTGTGTTTGTGTATATGTGTGTATGTGTGTTTGCAGATGCATTGTAATGCATTTTTGGGGTGTTTTTTTTGGCTTTTTAAGTCTCTTCTACTGTGTTTTTATGAGTGATGGTCACTCGTTGGACTCTTAGGTGCCTTGTGTTTGTGTATATTTATTTACTTCATTTGTATACCGCTTTTCTCAGCCCTAAGGCGACTCATAGCGGTTTATATGTGTGTGTACATATGTGTGTATGTGTGTTTGCAGATGCATTGGAATGCATTTGGGGGGGGTGGCTTTTTAAGTCTTTTCTACTGTGTTTTTATGAGTGTTGGTCACTCCTTTCATTATTAGATGTATTGTGTCCAAATTGGTGTCAATTCATCCAGTGGTTTTTGAGTTATGTTAATCCCACAAACGAACATTACATTTTTTGTTTATATAGATAGAAATAAAGATTGCAACTAACTGCAAATGTCTCACTTTTATAGACACCGAAATATTATATTTCCTCCTTTCTCCTCCCAAAACGGTTCTGGGATATTGATTGTCATCAATCTCTCTCTTTCTGGCTCTCTCTGGTTTTTTAGACGCCGGCTATTTAATTGTCATAATTAGCAACCTGCCTATCTTCCCTGTTTAAAAAGCTCCTGTCAGTTTTCCAGGATATTTATAGATTAATTTTCCTATGTACATTAATTTATGATGGCATACCTTTTGGGTTGTCCGTAACATTCAAATACTTATGGTACGGAATATTTTAATGAAAACTATTCATCAGAAGGCAGCCAGGTAGCTTGGGTGCGCTTGTTTCCAGTCGGGGGTCCAGGCAATGAACGGGAGCAAAATAATGGGTCAATTAAATCAAAATCACCCTGAAAGATATCGCTCCAACAATAGGAAGGTTCGGGAAGCGAAGGCGATACAGCGCAGAATCCTTTGCCTTTCCATTCCATTATAGATCTAGCTTTCAAGTTGCGGTGTTTATCGTGATATTAAAGAAATACATATGTAAACATCGGTATAAATGTGTTTCTACTTGACACGAGAATCCACACTGCTTTTGTTAAAGGCTTATTTTTCATTCTGAGGCTTTCACAGTAAAATATTCCCGAAGCGAAATGACCTTTTTTACATTATAAATGTCTTTATACCACAATTAAGCCCGAAAATAGCTAATTTCTCTTTACCCAAGTAAGAGCTATCAAGAAGCCTTCCACCTCCTACGAGGCAGACAATTTATTCAGATGCTTGTTTCTGTATCTATGGATGCATCAGTATCACTATATCTGTCTCTCTTTCTCTTTTGTCTGTCTACATCCTGGATTCATCGCTGAGCCTGGAACCCCAGGTTTCGGCGGTGACCAGGGGAGCATTTGCACAGCTAAAGCTTGTGCGCCAGCTGCGCCCGTACCTTGGGAAGTCTGACTTGGCCACGGTAGTCCACGCTCTGGTTACATCCCGTTTAGACTACTGCAACGCTCTCTACGTGGGGTTGCCTTTGAAGACAGCTCGGAAGCTCCAACTAGTCCAACGCTCGGCAGCCATGATTTTAACAGGAGCGGAGCGCAGGGAGCATACAGCCCCCCTGTTGCGCCAACTCCACTGGCTACCGATCTGCTACCGGGCTCAATTCAAAGTGCTGGCGTTGGCCTTTAAAGCCCTAAACGGTTCCGGCCCAAGCTACCTATCCGACCGCATCTCTGCCTATGAACCCACCAGGACTTTGAGATCTTCCGGGGAGGCCCTGCTCTCGATCCCGCCTGCCTCACAGGCACGGCTGGCGGGGACGAGAGATAGGGCCTTCTCGGTGGTGGCCCCTCGGCTGTGGAACGCCCTTCCCACGGACATTAGACTAGCTCCATCATTAATGGTATGGAGCCCCCGGTGGCGCAGTGGGTTAAAGCCTTGTTCTGGCAGGACTGAAGACCGACAGGTCGCAGGTTCGAATCCGGGGAGAGGCGGATGAGCTCCCTCTATCAGCTCCAGCTCCTCATGCGGGGACATGAGAGAAGCCTCCCACAAGGATGATAAAAACACCAAATCATCCAGGCGTCCCCTGGGCAACGTCCTTGCAGACGGCCAATTCTCTCACACCAGGAGTCACTCCTGACACGACAAAAAAAAATTAATGGTATTCCGCAAAAAAGTGAAAACCTGGTTGTTTGAGCAGGCGTTCGAATAGTTAGTGCAATGAATGTAATGAACATAGGAATGGAACAATGGATGACGGATCTGGATCATGTTTTTAGTGATGAGACGCTAGCGAATGGCTACTGGTGTTAATTATATATTGTTGTTAATTGTATACTTTTCTATAATATGTTATGATGTTAACTGTTTTTTATACTGTGTTATGGTAGCATGGAATTTTTGCTGTTCTTGTTGTTAACTGCTGTGAGTTGCCTAAGGGCTGAGAACAGCGGTATACAAATAAAGTAAATAAGTAAAAAATGAATAAATACATGCATATCAAATGTGCTTCGGTTCTTTGGTCTGTAATCAGAGGCGGCCCTACCTAATTTTCAATGGTAAGCAAACAGTATTTTGGCACCACCACCCCCCCCAACTAATCACTGATATATATTTTCTGTTCATCATGGGAGTTCTGTGTGACATATTTGGTTCAATTCCATCATTGGTGGAGTTCAGAATACTCTTTGATTGTAGGTGAACTATACATCCCAGTAACTACAACTCGCATATGTCAAGGTCTATTTTCCCCCTGGGCAAAATCAACTATACTGCAAATGCTTCCTTTGCGTAATGGGTTGAGCCGCCCATGTCTGTAATCACAGTTTCTGCCTAACATTTTGTAAAATTAAGAGCAGAGAA